CAGCTCTACGACAATGGGATCTTCTTCGGTGTTAGGGGAGCGATTACAGTATCCGACAGCACGGCGTGATGATTCCGTCGTCGAGGATTTTCACGGCGTCAAAATCGGAGATCCGTATCGTTGGTAAGAGTTTGTTTCCAGCTGCAATTACGTTTTTGTGGTCGATCTTCGTATTAGATGAAGACGAAATTTATGTTGATCGTTATTTCCGAGGAAAAATGGAGCCGGAGAGGACGACGATCTTTGTTGCTTATCTCTATGGAGCAATAGCAGACATTGGATTTGACTTGGAGATTGACTTTAATATAAACTTCTGATTTTGTTTGGATTGCGTGTGATTTGAAATTTCTCGATGAATTTGTTTTGATAGGTTAGAGGATCCTGATGCTGAAGAAGTGAAGGAGTTTGTCCAGAACCAAGTGAAATTGACAGATTCTGTGCTTGAAAAGTGTGAAACGAAGGAAAAGCTTCGTCAGAATATAACAACACTTATTGATCATCCGCGTTACGATTTGCTGTTCAGGCGAGGGGATAAGTACTTTTACCTCCATAACACCGGTCTACAAGCCCATAGTGTGCTTTATATGCAGGTATTACTCGAGAGGAAATGGATTTTGTATCAGTGCATAGGCATTTTAAACTCTTGTCTAGCTTTGTTTTCTCATTGACATGATTGGTATTGGGTTTAGGATGATTTGGATGCTGAGCCAGAGGTCTTGCTTGATCCGAACACTCTTAGCGATGATGGAACAGTATCCTTGAACACGCTTTCTGTCAGCGAGGATGCTAAGTACTTGGCCTATGGTCTTAGTTCAAGTGGTAGCGACTGGGTGACGATTAAGGTGATGAAGATTGAGGATAAGAAAGTGGAGCCTGATACTTTATCATGGGTATGGTCTTTAAGCAAGTACTGATTAGTGAGTTCGATCATTCGACCAGTTATGATATAGTATTCATGATCCTCTTGTGGAACAGGTTAAGTTTAGTGGGATTACATGGACACATAACAGTAAAGGATTTTTCTATGGTCGCTACCCAGCTCCCAAGTAAGTCATAGATAATGCTTGTTATTTGGGTTACTAGGCGTACAGGATTTATTGAAAGAGCCCTTTCAATTTAGTTTAGAATGTTTGGCATAACCCGAGTAATTTCCTTGATCTTCCATTTTTGATCTTGGTTCCTTTTGCAGGGAGGGAGAGGATATCGATGCTGGTACTGAGACTAATTCTAACCTTTACCATGAGCTATATTACCATTTCCTTGGAACGGATCAATCTCAAGATATCTTATGCTGGAGAGATCATGAGAATCCCAAGTATATGTTTGGAGCTGAAGTCACGGACGATGGGAAGGTAACACAACCAGTTCTTATCATGAATTTTTTTATTAAGCTCTCAGAAGTTATTCTGTAAACACTGTCAGAAAACCATTTTGATCCTTTTCGTATTCTGAGTGATGGTTATGGCTTCAAACTGTGTTACCTAATTTTGTATATCTGTGAATTTTTAATTTGGGTTCCATTTTCAATCTTGTCATGCTGTTTATTCGTGCAGTACCTAATCATGAGCATTGGAGAGGGTTGTGACCCTGTCAACAAATTATACTACTACGATCTGTCTTCACTTTCAGGAGGTCTTGAGAGTTTCCGAGGAAGCAGCAGTTTTCTTCCATTCGTTAAGCTTGTTGACACATTTGACGCGCAATACAGTGTTATCTCAAATGATGAGAGTCTGTTTACTTTCATGACAAACAAAGATGCCCCAAAGTACAAATTAGTCCGGGTTGATCTAAAGGAACCAAACAATTGGACTGATGTTGTTGAAGAACATGAGAAGGATGTCCTAGCATCAGCTTGTGCAGTCAATGGGAATCAACTGGTCGCATGCTACATGAGCGATGTGAAGCACATTCTGCAAATTAGGGACTTGAAATCTGGTTCCTTGCTTCACCAGTTACCGGTAGATATTGGTTCAGTATCTGATGTTTCTGCTCGGCGCAAGGACAACACTTTTTTCTTTAGCTTTACTAGCTTCCTCACTCCCGGTGTGATTTACAAGTGTGACTTATCCAATGAATCTCCTGAAGTTAAGGTATTCCGTGAAGTTGCTGTACCCGGATTTGACAGGGAAGCATTTCAAGCCACTCAGGTAAGACTCTCTTGTAGCATCTTTCTATTTCTTTTGTAATTATTTTTGCTTTGCATATGTTAAAGTGGCTTTTTCTCTTCTTTGTAGGTTTTCTACCCTAGTAAGGATGGAACTAAGATACCAATGTTTATTGTGGCTAAAAAGGATATTAAGTTAGATGGATCGCACCCATGTTTGCTCTATGCATATGGTGGGTTTAACATAAGTATTACACCGTCTTTCAGTGCCAGCCGCATTGTGCTTAGCAAGCATCTGGGTGTTGTTTTCTGCTTTGCAAACATTCGCGGTGGTGGGGAGTATGGTGAGGAATGGCACAAAGGGGGTGCACTTGCCAAAAAGCAGAACTGTTTCGATGACTTCATTTCTGGGGCAGAGTATCTCGTGTCCGCTGGTTACACACAACCGAGCAAGCTGTGTATCGAAGGTGGCAGTAATGGTGGACTCCTGATCGGTGCCTGCATTAATCAGGTAAGTCTACACAGATATATAAACCTATTACTTTGCAACATTCATTCCATTTAGTTGCCACACTTAAACATCAAGATTTTAACTCTGTGCAGAGACCAGACCTTTTTGGTTGTGCTTTGGCTCACGTTGGCGTCATGGACATGCTACGGTTTCACAAGTTCACCATAGGTGAGTACAGTTACTTTCACTTTTTTTTTTGCTCCTACATTGTATTTATAACTCAAGAGATGTTATGTATGCAATAGGCCATGCCTGGACTTCTGAATTCGGTTGCTCCGAGAATGAAGAGGAGTTTCATTGGCTGATAAAGTAAGTCTGTGAAAATATAATATCTGATGTTATGTTGACTTGTTTCCCAATGCTGATACAAAGTTACAATTTGGCTGTGAACGTAAAAAGGTACTCGCCTCTGCACAATGTGAAGAGGCCATGGGAGAAACAAACCGACAATTTCGTTCAGTACCCATCAACCATGTTACTAACAGCTGATCACGATGACAGAGTTGTGCCGCTTCACTCTTTGAAGTTGCTTGCGGTCCGTTTCCACACTTTCCTTTTTTGATGTGTATCTAATTTTGACTCTTCTCTTAAGGATCCGCAATGCTCATTGTTAAACTCGTATGCATCTGCAGACGATGCAGCACGTGTTGTGTACAAGCTTAGAGAATAGTCCACAGACAAACCCCATAATTGGTCGTATCGAAGTTAAGGCCGGCCATGGAGCTGGTCGCCCAACCCAAAAGACGGTAATGGAAAAATTCTAGTTGCTTAGGCTTTGTGTTAGGTAACATACATTTTTTCCATAGCTGACTGATGTGAGATATTCAACAGATTGATGAAGCGGCTGATCGGTATTCGTTCATGGCAAAGATGGTGAATGCTTCATGGACCGAGTAAACAAAAACAAAAATCCCTTTACTTACAGGCATCAGAGATCTTTACCCTTTTATCCAACTTGTTCTATCCAAAAAAGGTTTACACATTTTTCAGCTTTTTATTCACCCTTTATGATTCATTTCTTTGAAAGATACAAACATCAAGAGTCGATACAAATTATTTATGGCGGTTTACAAGCAAACATCAAGAGTCTTGTAAAACGTAATGTTTGTTGCCTTTGCAACATTATGATATCCCTTATATGGACGATTTAGGGGCATAAACTTCTAAAGAGATGAAGATAAACCACGAATATCAACGTAACCAGATAACACTGCTTTGTTCCTCTCCTTCACTTTTGTCTGATATATAACCCTGTGAATGCATGAAAGCTAAAGTTAAGGCTTTGTTCCTCTGTTTGTAACAGTTCCTATGGATATTCTGTGTAATATATTGCCAATGGACAATAATAGAAGGGAGGAAATTCTACCTCAAGCCTTCAAGCCACATTTCGGTTATTAGAGTTTCACCAGGAAAAACAGTCGTGAGGAATCGTCCAGATATGGTTTTGACAGCGGTCGGGTCACCCTTGCAAACACACTTGATGATTGCCTTGATTGCAAACCCGAGTGTGCATAGTCCATGCAATATCGGGCGTGGGAATCTGCAGGGCAAGTTAACGAAACAATTATCAGTCGTGGCAGTACAAAATAGTTCAGATTTATGATGGAATTTAAGATTCATTTCTTGCAGGGTAAATGTAGCAAACTAGGAACGTATGATCTAGCTTGACACTGATCTGAATGAGCAGCTATATATAGTGGTTCACTAACCCGGCAACTTTTGCAACTTTTGGATCTGAGTGCAGAGGATTATAGTCACCAGAGAGCCTATAAAGCAATGCCTGCCAAGAAATATAAACCCGAGGGTCAGACAATGTAAAGCAGTTGGCCTCAAAGGGAACAGAAACAACTTCAGAGAAGTTAGCTAGGTACACCTCAATGAAAATTAGAAGTGGTTTCCCAAATCCAGAAATAATTGACAAAACAAATCCAAACAAAGTTTTACATCATCGACATGCCTGTGATAGTTGGGTGCGCTCTTCGCTCACTACCGCAGGTTGTGTTTTGGGGATTTTCACAGCTAAGCCCTGGTTAATTGGATAGTTTTTGTAAGAAAATGGCTGAGATGAATTTGAGAACCCACCAGCTCCTCGTAAAAATACAGTCGTCCTGCAGAGCACGTCCCAACAAATTAGTTCAAAGAGTTTCAAAGCAAAAAAAACTCCCCGATTAAGTACTGCCACAGACATTTTTACCTATTCATGCATAACAGTTCCTCTGAACCTTGCTCGTAACTTTTGATTTCTATCTCAAGGATAGCTGCTTTACCTAAAAGATGGCCATGGGAAGAGAATAAAAAGATCATTGTAAAATGCCTTCAGCCTTACACTGTCAATGCTCAATGCATAACACAGAAAATACCAAATTAGTCCATTTCCTCTTATGTTATAGCTAGTAAAGATGTCACACAAAACAAAACAGTAGTGACAAGTACCTTTATCCTGCAATCCAGCCAAGCTTACTTTGTTAATTAACTGTGTCAACACAAACAAAATCAATTCAGAAAAATGACGCAAAGAACACTTTGGGTATAGAAGAAGAAGCCAATCTAATTTGCCACGAACTCTTAAAACCAATGTTACGCCAATACGAGGGTACGATTTCTAGAGCAAATATTTACTTTTAAAATCCTGAAGATGGGGAAGAATTACACAGAACTTATTGCTACTAGACATGTAGTATGTTATATAGGCGAATTATATACTTACATTAGCCTTGGAAGGTAATGGCCTGTATATTTCTATGTATTGCTGTCCATGCAACATGAGACTAGGATCATATCTGCAAGACAAGTTACAAACAACATCATTTCTTTTATTTTCACATCTTCTATGTCTTAAATCAAGATGGGATCGATACAAAACCTCAATAAAAACAAAAGACAGAATACAGTTCTTACTTAAAACCAGGCAAATCCAGTCCTTTTGTCAGAGATCCAAGTGTTACTAGTGAAGCAAAAGTTGGTAGAACCTATAGATTTAAAGCAAATAACATCAATTTACTCGACAAAATCATATCACAGAGCTAAATCAAGATCAATCATATAAGTTACCTGGATAAATTCCTGTCCATTTTCGTGATACACATACTTCAGCTCATCCGAATCAACAGCATCTTGTCCACAAGCACCGATTCCCAAAGCATAGATTGCTACATCTCTATAATACACAAAATAAATCAAATTCTCACAGAGATCTGTTCCTAAATTTCTCAAGGTAAAATATTCAATTTCGTTAATCTCTCTCAATTTTGTCCATCATCCATCGTCAATCTCACAAAATCGATTTATAATACATGAGTATTGATAAAGACAGAGTGAGAGAAGATACAAACCTTTCGTTGTAGGTGTATTGCGTCTGTGAAGGAAAAACCAGCGATCAAAAGAAGGTGAGATTACAGACAAAGTTCCGTCTCGAATCGGAAGAAGAAGAAGAGGAATTCAATAAGAAATGTAAAAGGAAAAACAAAACCTCGGGAAGCTTGTGAGCGAGAAGTAGATCAGAATTGAATACAGAATCGCTAGTCGCAGCCATCTCCGATCAGCTTCCGTGTCCTCCTGCTCTGATTTTTCACTCTTCCGTGTTCAATGTTTTAGATAAGTATATTTGCTATATATACATCAAACGGTGTCGCTTTATTCCATCATCGAAAATTCAAATCCCAATGCCCAAAGATAGCATTTGATATTCCATAAGCATATCGATTGGGCTAATCAGAGTATATCAAATTCAATATATGATTCTCACTTTGGGTGCGAGAGGTCCCGTCTTCGATTCTCGGAATGTCCCCTTTTAGTGATTATCACTATCAGATATAGTTTTAGCTAATTAATATAACCCGAACATTTGAAAGTGTTATCAATCTTGTTAAATAGTTAGCTGAAGAACTATATCAAAGCAAGATGTAATGATCAAAAGACATGAAACTATATATGATTATATCGAATAAAGTTTCCCTCTCAGTGATATATTTTTGTTTAGAAAGAAAAAAAAGAATAAGAATTGAGACCTCGAGCTGAGATCGTTTACAAACTGATATACCGATTTTACCATAACTCTTTGAAGAATGAATCAAACAAGAAACATCGAGAACTCGTCAGCTGGTTTGGCTGACCAT